AACTGCCAAAATTGGCAGAATAACTGAGTAAAAGTGTTTTGACACTCATTTCTTAAACTGCATAACCACAAAATCAAGATAAATTATCTAATGAGAAATTACCACAAAACACAAGCATTTTCTAGGGATAAGGAGTTTAAAATTAATTTTGTGACTGTGCATCTGTCTAATCTAACCAAATCCAGACATAGTGTGCCTATTTACAGGCACAGTTTCAAAAACGCCGACTAAAGTGGTAAGTACAGGTATACCAGCAACTGGCAGATCTGTAACTGTTAGCTACAGAACTTTCCAGGTAGTTCTATTAACGTGGGAAAAGTCAGCATTGTTCAGTAGTTCTCGACATACCCTGCTTTTCACACATTCTCTCACAACTTCTCATGAAAAATACATATAAACATCACTTTCTAACACAAGCTCTTACTTAATGGCAGCTTTTAAGTTCTATGTCAAAAATATACCCACACAAAAATGGAATATATAAGACTTGAACCTTACTTAGCTAAATTCAAAGCTAGAACTGAGCAATATTGTGGATGAAATCTATAATGTTAAATATTTAAATAATAAAAACGTATGCATTAGTCAAAAAGGAAGTGCTGAATCTGTTTCACTCAAAAGATAATTTGGCTTTTCACTCTAAATACTAGCTGCAGGTGATACTGAACACCTCCTACCTTTCCTACTAAAGAAACGAGGAACTGGGGACACAAAATATCCTGTTTTCTTAAAGACATTCTATTCTTGGGGCTTACAGTCCTTTTCTGAATACCTGTAACAAAGGAGATGGAAAAGACAAGATGGGCTTAAATATATATTTTTTATAATCATACATATATTATACCATAATATATAACATAAAAAGTTGTTTTATATCTACATAATACAATCTATTTAATAAATATAACATCACCTGAACTGCTGTATTAAGTATATTCCAAAATTTCTTAAAGGCAGATACGTGAAAAAGGAATTCAAGAAACAGTGTGAAATCTTATTCTGGTATATTCTTTCAGTCTCGATTAATCAACAGATCAAAAATTCCTTGAGTTGAAGACTGTTTATAAAATATTGTGTTTAACAGGCCAAGACTCAGCTCTCCCACAAATCTCTGATCCTTCTTTATGAGTATTTTTACACTTCTGGTCTCTTCTGGCAACAAATTCCACAATTTAAGGATGTACTTTTGGGAGAATATTCTGTATAGGTTGCCTTTTTTAGAAGACAATGATCTTATGAAGATGATTGTTTTGTATTGTGCAGTTTTTTTTATTTTTATTTTTTATTTTTTATTTTTTTGTTGGTTGTCTTTTTTTTTTTTTTTAAATTATAACGCCACTGTGTTTAATTAAAACATACCATGAAGTTTATTTCTGTGATGGAGTAACTTGTTCTGTTCATTCCCTTCACTACAGTCACTGACACTCTGGGTGAGCTTTCCAGTCGCTGTTAAGGATCTGAGATAATATCTATCAATGAATTCACCACAGACTAGGGCTAGAACGGGTTCTTCAGGGCACTGCAAAGTCTTTTTCTTTCTCCAAGTAGCCAAACAAAAGTTTGATCAATACGATGGGTTTGTCCTATTAGCAAGCATGTTGTCAGCCCAGTTCTGCCACTTTTGCATCACTTTTAAAGTTAACCAAGCTCAAAAGACTTTGCCAGACATTCTTGCAGAAAGCTTTTGCTGATGTAGAAACGTGATCAACTGTCTCCTAGCTTTGTCTTCTGATCTCCTTACCCAGTCACTCTACCAAAGATCTTAGATTTTTAAAGAGTAAAAACTTCTTGAAAGCTTCAGGATATGATGCTGACCCTAGTCCATATACACATTAGCATACTGTAATGCTGTACTGTTGGGGCTTTTTTGTTTGTTTTTAAGACAAATCACAGCTAAGATAAGGAGAGGTGAATTGGAGAAGTGAATTATGTTTTTTTTTTTTCTGCCCTATATTCTTCTCACTCATCATACTTTTTATCTATGGTTTGCAAAGTAACAGCTGCAGGTAAGACTAAACCTCCCTGGAAACAGTACCAACTCCAGAGAGACTAGCTTCTGAAGGTTCAGATTAAAATCTTCTGGTCATCGCACAGAAGAAAACAAGTCTTCTTTCAACACCTTCCACAATGCCTCGTATTCCATGGTATCAGTTACACAAAATAACAGAAAATATTACAAGTAATCATTTTGCCTGTGATCTACAGAGAATGTTCATGAGCTGAGTTCACAACCTTCTCCGTGACCTCTTCTCCCCTTTCACAACTGTTTTGTCTTGGAAATCTCTTGTGACAAAGTAAAAGGAAATGAAGTTAGTTAACTCAATGTTCTTATTTGCCAATCTATAAACCAATCATGATAGAAAATCCCCAACTAAGGTGTGTGATAAGTAGCCATATCTCTCAGGGCAGATCCTTGTTATCCTAACAGTGAAGTTGTATGAAGTATTGTCTCACAGTTTTTGTTTTAACAAAGAGCATGGTGTTAAGCTCACAATGGAAACTAATGCACAACTGTAACCAGGCTTTCTACAAATCATATTTTCTACTCCAAGTGTCAGTGCTTATTAAGCTTTATACTAGTATTTTCTAAACTTGAAAAATGTAGAAACAAATGGAAGAGCTTCTTTTTAGTGCCTATCTAAAGTAAGTGAGAATTGGGAAAAAATTAAGTTCAAAGACATACTGTCTATCATTTTAACATACATTTTAACAACCTTGTTTTCCTGTATTGAAGATTTCTCTAAGCTGTTTCCATATGAAAATTAGAAGTGTATTGTTTCTCGTTAAGGTGTGAGCTTCTAACACAGATAAACTCTATTATTTGTGGAGTAACCAATCTATTGTCACAGATAAAGCATTGTCAATAATCTGTTGTTGTTGCAATAATTGTCTAAGAAATAGTCGTATTTGCCATGTTTCAGGAAATTGAATGTCAAATTCTCCACTTAACAGCAACTCTTCTCCACTTCTGCAGTACGTGATACAGCTTGGATTGACTTAGCAGCAGCTCTTACAGCAATCTCCAATCTAGGACATATCTTTATTTCCAATCCAGATGAAAAATGCTTTCGAAAAAAAAAAGTAAGAAAAAAAATAGGTCACAAGATACAGCAATTATTCTTTAAAATGAGAGAACACATCTTTTCCTTCTTTGATACACATGACAATTTCAGCTCATTACTTTCAATATTCACAGTAAAATACTTTTGAAAAACAATCTATTTAAGTACAGCTTAGGGCTATCCATTGCCAGTATATGCCATTTTACAGAAAAACTTCTAAGATACCGAACACTAACTGAGCTCAGGTGAGCTCTGCTAGTTTTGCACTACATCACCCCTGAAAGAAGTTACTCAGAAAACTGGAAGATTCACATTTTTCATCTGTGGCAGATGAAGCTCTATATCAAAGAACAATCATAAAACTTTGCTCTTGATGTGCAAGGTGAGATACTGATCACCCAAAAACCTGTATAACAGAGTCACTGAATATTGATGCTATACTGCAAGACTTGCCTATTCAGACAAATCATCCTGAACATTACAGTCATTTATATTTGTGGAGAAGGAACAGTGAGGAGACCAGTTGGTTTGATCTTGTTGATTCCTCCATCTAGGATGCAGACCCGTGGGTACTTGCTCTTCACCAGATGAGCTGCAAACTGAAGTAGGCGTATCATTAGCATGACATATATGACTTATGACATATATATATACATGTATATAATGACTTAATTCAAAATGACACTATACTAAGACAAGTTAAACAAAAGGAGAGTTCATCAGATTCTTTAAGTTCTTTTTTTTAAACCAAGGAGTCCTACATAGGAACTCTAGGCTTGTCTGTTGCAGCACCTGAAGTGAATTTAGAGGTCAGGAAAGTATCACATCTTAACATTACTTATCTTTGCTTAGGTAGGATTTTTCTAATTTTATCAGTTTTTTTTTTCCCCCCTCCAAAACAATCGCTGGAACTTTTCTGAAATTGTAAATTAACATGTATTTTCCTGTGGAATAATCTTATTCCCAGGTGTTCTTTACAGGTTCCCAAACGTACAAGCATCAAAGTTTGATGGGACAGCCGTTTGCTTACCTGTCAAACTAGTCTAACATTACTTCATTTCAGAGACATCAGTAATTTGGAGCCCAGTATTTGTATTCTCTTTCCCTCCTTTCCTTCCCTCCTCCCCTAGTCTACCCATGGACAGGCTACAGAGAGCAAGCACAGACACAAATTATTCCTTGAAATCCTCCATTAATCTATTCTATAAACCAAATACTGGAGTTGTCTGTTTCCACGTAGCAACAGTGAAAAATTGCTACACTTCTGAAGCCTAGAAAGGAAGACCAATTTCTGCGTAATATGTCAAACTTGCCTTTTGAATAGTGATTGCAGTACATTAAGAAGCAAGCCACTAAAATTGATTAATTGGAAGAAGACAACAATTTTACTTTATTTCCAATAGTTGAAAGACAGACTGGCCATGCTGTTCTAGTCTTCCAAATTGTTGCTTTATATCTGGTTGACAAATTAGCACCATCTGGAAAACGGCAAGTGTTTCTAAATGGGCTACATAACATACTCAGATTTACCATTTCGACTGTTTAAAAATGATTTCTGATATTATTCCACAACAAAGTGCAAGCCTGATGTCCAAATAACTAACTCTGCAGAAACAAATGAATTACCAACTATAGAACAGCACCAGGTGCCATGGCCAACATACGTTGGTACATTGGATCATCTTTTACATGTCTACTCTCACAGCTAATTAGAATGAACATAACAGATACTAAGGCAAAACAAGACGTACTATGTGATTTCCTGATGAAGTGCAAGAACTGAAATAACTTTATTTAAAAGTAAGAGTTCACAGTGATTTTAAACCTCTTCCACAGCCGGAAATTTTGCTTCACACTGAAGGTATTTTACATATGCAGAGAATCCATTTTGTACATCTACACATCAAACAGCTACTGCATTCCTTTCTCTCGTTTCAGAATGAATTGAACCAGGCAGTAAGTAGCCAGTATGTGATCTGCAATCACTGAGGACTTGTGAGGCAGACTAAGAAGCCCTACTGGATCCACTGGAGAAATTCTGGCTTTCATGTTTGTTTGAGGTACTTGCCTAAGATAAAAAGTAAATTTGATAATCTCTTCATGTTAGTTTGGGAGGATTCAAAGCATCAAATGGAAAAAAACAAACAAACAAACAAACAAACCACAACAGAACCAAAAAAAACCAAACCAATAACCAAACACCATAATAAAGCAATAAAAAAAACTAATAGAAAAGTTAAATCATATGCAGATGCCAGTTGGCATGAGGAAAGTAAATGCCATGCTGTTACAAAGGCTTTCTGATGCAGAAGTAGTGTACTGTGCACAGTCAAAACACTAGGAGTCCAACTACCTCTCACTTCACTGTGGAGAATCAATAGAGCTCTATCTTGGACTCCATTCAACGCCACACATTTTCTGATGACAGAAATAAAAACTGACAACCAGCATTTGGACTGACAGAAAGCAGTCATGCTGTTGACTCAGCACAACATCCCATGTGTCAGCAGAGAGATTCCGTTTCTGAGAGTAAGCCATAAACTCTCCAAGATGTATGTAGACATACGTAATTATGCTGTAGACATAATATAATTACTATTCTACCTAACCTGAAAAAAAAATCAAACAACTGCTTTGTATTTCAGATTTGAGCACTATGGTTTATGTCCCACCATATTTTAGAACAGTTTTAGTAGCCAAGGTATGGACAGAAATAACTTTTATTTACTGCATATGACAATATTTCTTTACAACTTTATAGTGTGGAAAATGTCAATGCCTCACACAGACTCTGAGAAATCAGCACTGCGGATTCTGTGGCTGTTGGTGAATGGTAGGTAGAAAGCACAAGAGCACAAAACAGTTACTTCTCCCCTACATTCCCTTAAGGAACTGTCTGTAGTTGTCTACTATGCAAATACAGCTCAAAATATTGTGTCTGAACATTCAGACAGGGAACATCCAGCAAGCACAGGTTGCACTACAGTTGGTACCTCACTACTGTAGGAATTAGCTGCAAGTCAGAGGCCCAGAAGACTATACACTGCCAAAAGCTGAGAGCTGCTATCAAACTCCAAATATCAGCATCCAAGAACTTTGCAAATACACCTGCCACTGCAAAAAAGAAAGGAGTCAAGGTTTTACTCATAAGTTAATTCAAACCAACCTATTAAAGACATTCTCTCTTTACCTTCCACATTCCTATACTGAGCCACTCAAAAATAGAAACAGTAATTTTTGGCAAAGTTCAGACCTATAAATCATCTATATAACATCATAGTCTTCACTCTAAAGTTTTGACTTTCTACAGTTTTGTTCAAGTACATTTTTGGGTCTTCTCTCCCAGACAGGAGTTCACTGGCCACAGATGAGAACAGGAGCTTGTTCTCCATGTTCCTGAAACATTCCAGCATCACCTGGCATTCCCTCCCTGCCAAAATACCCTGTTGAAGTCTGAAAATACCAAAGCTAATACTTTCAGAAAATACAAAAGTGTTATTTTTGGCTTGTATGCTGACACAGAGGCATGAGAGGAAGGACTATCTAAAACAGCTTCAACAACATTCTCTTCCAACATAACCCATGTTTATGTAGAAACTTGGAGCTAAGAAATTAAGAGAGATAAGGGAAAAAAAGCTCATTGTGCCCTTTAGAGTTAATATCATAGCTGATTCTGAAGCAGAAGTGTCATCTTGGACTTCACACATGAACTTGTTTCCCTCAAAAATGGTATCTTGAAGTGTCAAACTAGAAACTTAACAGTCACTCAAATATGCAGATTTATTTCAGTAAATAACCTGATTTACAGAGGTACTCTTAAGACAGAAGATAACACAATGAGGAGACAAGCATGTTACAGTATTCTGGTAACCTGTAAGCTATCTGCATTTCAAGTAGAGATTTACTTAAACATACAGTAGTAGATCACAATTTGATTTTCATTATACTGATTGATTAAAAGAGAAAAAAGAACCTCAGTCATTTAGACGGTGATTACACTTGCTCAACTTGATCAAATTCTTCTACTGACACACTGACTTCTGAAACATATCTGTTTCTCCATACCACCAGTAGATCACAGACCCCTATAATGCTTCTGTTTTCATTAAGATTACAATGCTATGAGGCGTTGTTGCCTTTACTTGGGGAAATGGTGTTACTGCTTATCTGAGGGAGAGGATAAAAAAGATGCCAGAAGACTAAGCTTTCTGAAATGTGCCTCAGGTGGCCTTTCCTCAAAACATAGTTCCCAAGAAAGTTAGGTTACTGTGTTTTTACTGGCTACATCTAGAGATTAAATTGGACTTCCTTTCCCTGGTTTCATAGAAAATATGAAATAGGGAAAGATGAATATGTAGGTGACATGTTTAACAACTCCTATGGCAAGGCTTTGGTAACACCATTCCTCAATTAATGTGTCAGTCATAGACATCATTCCCAGTGAATGAAAATGAGTAGTAAAAATGTAATTTGCCTCCAAAAGCAGTAAGCTAAGACTTCTTCACTCACAAAGTCAAGCTTTCAAAAAACACAGACATCAAAGCAAATTTATATTAAAATTTGGGTATATTTAAAACATTTTACCCTGCATGGATATTGCTCTTGAAACAGCTTGTCAGGGCTGCTCCTTTTAGTACCATTAAGTATCAGGAACCTCAATAATTTAAGGTGGTAAATTGATATTCACCTATGGAGCATTTATCAAAGTATTTCTACTACCATGTTCCAAAGCAGCAAAATCACAGCTTTCAAATTTGCTGAATGTATTACACTAGGCACATCACACTTTTAGACTGAGTATAGAATAGAGCCTAATAACACCACACAGCTTGAGCAGCACCATTCCCAGCTCCCTTCAGGCCAGCCATAATGGTTGCTAAGTATACGTTATTCACTTTTGCAGACATTCCTGTGACAGCTAGTAATTAAAGGGCAAGTTGGGAGGGAAAGAGTAACTTACTGTGCTAGAATACCAAAAAGGACTGCTGTGATCAATGTCATCAGGGTACAAAAGTAACATATGCCAAAAGAGACAAAAGAGGTACAGTAGAAGCTGAAAAGGGAACCTTTATCAAACTCAATAAACACTCACCCATAGCCACAAGATTATCATCATTTTTCCATTTGTAAGCACATGCTGCACCAACCTCTCAGGAACCACAATCTATTTTGCCATATGATTTCAGGCAAGAGCTCACCATTCTGAAAGCAAGGTGTTCAATTCAGGGCTTTTCCATATGTCACAAAGCAGATCCAAAACACGATTATTCTTAGTCAGGTACTTCTTCAATTAAAATGTTCCAGATAAATGAAATGGCACTTTAACATCAAGGTGGTAGACCGAAAAGTTTCCCAAAGCAACAAAAACGTGCCTAATTAGTTATGGTAAAAAGCTATGGTATTCACATAAACTCAAGTGCAAAACACAAGGTGCACAACTTGGTGCAAGCATATATTACATATACTAAAAAAGCAGCAGCAGCTACTTACTTTTCTAACAAGATCAAAGAAAAACAAGGAAAAATTCTTCCTGCTGACATGGCCAAAAAGCAACACTTTCCATCCCATTATACAAAAGCACAGCAGAAACTTTAAGCACTTAACATGCAAAGATTTGAAAGTAAGCCTAGATAAACAGATATTTAATAGCATGAAAGTAAGAGTGAACACTCATATTTCTTTGAGTAGTAACTTTTTAGCACCTGCCTTTTAAATTTTTCCACTTCGAAACGTAATATTGCACACACACACAAACCACACAGCAGAAAGCGAGAACTTGAAAATGAAAAAATTGTAAAAATTTGGCTGTTAGCACAGTTTATACTAACCAAAATACATGAAATGCATCCTGTACGGCTGAATAGACTGTAAAATCATAATGCAGAAAGCAAATCTATTCTATTTTTGATTGAACAGAAAATAAAAGAAGCTGTTAATGAACAGAAATATGCATTTTTTAAGAGATGCATAGAACAGTCGGTCTCAATACAGAAAAGAGTATGAATCTCTCTGAAAGATTCTCTTTCACTCCTAAGTGTCAAAAGCAACTGCTCACTTCTTCTTTTTTAGGATGGCTTTGGCTATTTTATAAAATCTTCTCAAGTCTGTCCTAGATGCTGCAAAACATTCAAATAAGTCCTTGGTAACACAAAATCTTTTCTTATGCTTTGCGTTACTTTCTACTAATGCTGCTCAAATTCAAATCTCTTTCAATTGAAAATTAGGCCAATGAAGCAGACTATAACAAATCCATATACGAACTACCAACACTTAAATGATTCTGAGGGCATGCCTACACTGCCAGTTTTGGCCTTCACATCAAGACACAAATCCTTGGAACTTCCTCCTGTAGCAAGCAGTCCTCTTCAAAAACTGACTAAAAGTTTCAGGAAGAGTAAAACAACGTCTGCCCCAGAGAGGTCATATGGATACTGGAAGTGTCAAATTCACCCATACTGTTCTAGCTGGCAGTATCCTTATTTGTGTCCCTATAACACTCACTTACTAGTACATTTTCATCTATATTTCAGTTACCGCCATTTCACATTATTTCAGATTGTCTGAACCCAAATACCAGAAAATACCAAGCAGTTTCTGAAGCTGTTGTGTAGCTCTAATAATTCACTTTTGTTATGCAAGAGCACTGAATACTATGGATATGACCTAATTCACGCAAGCTCATGCAAGGACAAGGGCGCTCCTTCAGAGATGCAGCCTACAAAGACAGTAGAATCATGGCCAAGACTGACACAACTGAAGATAGTACTGAAGTCTAACAGCACTACTCCAGGATTCAGGTTCACCATCTCCAGCCTTTCCAATCCATACAGATCTCCTAGATGTTTGAGAAAAGTTGAGATCTTGTTTATCAGCATCTCCAAGAAGTCAGACATTTTTTTGATAGGAAAAGCTATTCCACAATTGCTCATCTCAGAAACACTTACACAGATGGACTAAACTTCTGAACTTCTGCACCAACAAAACAATTTCCCATAACTGTAACTGTCAGTCTCAACATGGATTAAAGAACAGAATCTATGTGGAGTTTTAGAAATAGGCT